AAAACATAGCTTAGTGCTGTAAGAGGGCAAATGTAGATGATCAGGTGTGTGCCTGTAGACTAAGTATTAATCCAAGCTAGACAAGGGCAACAAAACATCCACGGATGCAGAAGATTTCTCTCAAAACAGGGGGGTGAGGTTCTAAGCCTCACCTCTGTTGATCCCCAATTTCTCACCTGATGGCCCCCCTGCGACTGTGCCTGTCTTAGGTTGTTCCTCCCTTGAGGAATCTTACCCATCTCTAGTTAACCAGTCATCTCCCAGGGCCATACAGGGAAATGTAAAGTTGGTAAGTGAGAAAGAAGCAATATTGTTTGAAAAGGTTAGCTTTTTACTTTTTTGCAGATTTATGCCCTGTGGCTTCTATGCCCAGCATTTGTCTTGAGGTATCTTTACCACTTATCTGTACCCCCCTTTTTATGAGACATGATTGACATATTACATTTGTAAGATTAAGGTGTACAGTGTAACACTTTTAAATATAGCAGAGGGAATCTAAATGCCACAGTAATTCGGTACTCAATATTTGATATAAAAGTATAGAGCAGATTGTTCCCATAGGATTTGGAATTTTACGTTGTTTCTTCTTATCTTCAAACTCATGTATCTATCCCATTTCCCCCACAGAATCATATCCTGATGTAACATACTTTATGAACCATCTCATTACAGTTTGCTCCATAGAAAATACAGTGTAAATATAAATGGAAATTATTTTTTATTTCTTGTGAACATGTGGCTCTCAGCACTCAATTTTATAGTGTCCAATAATCATTTGGTAAAAATAAATGAAAGTGGATTCATGATAGCTAATGAATTGAAAAAAATTGACAGCAAGGATGAGGAGTCACTTAAAGCCTTTATCCTGAAAGATAGAGACCAAAATATAACAGACAGCATAAGCAACACTGCAGTGGTTAAAGTAACTGACGCTATTAAAAACAGAAACATTCCTAGAATAGTAAGATGCGTTAGAAATTTAAACTTTGTTAGGTATAGTTGAGGAACTGTCCAAGAAAAAATAAAAAGATCAGAGTACGAAAGTGGGAGAGAAACAATTTTTGAAAAATCAGAGAATTTGCCCAGGAAGCCCACCTGGCCAATTCCAGAAGGAGCAGTAGAGAAAATGAAGGGGAGGAAGCAATGTAAGACAGTTTTCTAGTCCCAAAGAGGTTATATTTCCAGACTGGCAGGCCCATCCAGTGGTACGCTGGAGCAGGCTCATTCTTGCTTGTGGGGCCCATAGTTAAACTGTGGAATTTTTGTAAGCAGATTGTTAAACACAGCCATTATGAACGGTTATTTTCTAATTATTATTTCCTAATTATTTTGCTGTTATTTATGCTCTTGAGGTTACTCGTGTGTGGTTTATCTGTATGGTGAAAATACTATATAATGATGTGCAACAGCTTATCTTTTGACAACTCCACATTCAGTGATGTTGCATTGGTGCCTTGAAATTGGCCACAGCAGGAGGATTTACACCACAGAAATTGGCAAGCTCTGCCATCATGGCTTCTTTCCCTGAAAGAAATAATTATTTACCCTTTATTAGCACATCAGTGGTTCTATTAAATACCTCGTATGGTCAGTTTAAAAAAAACCCAGTCTGAGGCACATCGTCATGAAATTTTAGAACATTGGAGATAAAGAGAAAGTTGTAAAATTTTCAGAAAGAACATGTATTTCACATATAAATAAGTCAACAGCATGGTATCACACTTAATAATAACACTGAAAGCTTGAAGCCATTAAAATCATGCTTTCAGAATTCTGTGAAAAAGCAGATTTTCAACTAGAATTCTGTATCCAGGTAATAGGATGTAACAAAGACATATTCAGACCTGTGAGGTCTCGAAAAATTACCTCCCATGTTTCTAAGGAAGCCTCTGGAAGATGTATTTTCTAAATCAGCCATAAAGGATGGTACAGGAAGTAGTCTGAAACTGGAGAGAAGCAAAGGAAAGTTCCAGGATGGCAGAGCACGCAGGGGACCAGGGAGGGGCGAGGTCTCCAAGAGGAGTGCTTCCCAGGAAGGGTGGGAGCGGTTACAATGTCCGGCAGCTGTGAGAGTGTTAAGACAAGGTGGTCGGGGTGGACCCCCCTGAGAAGATGATTCTTGAATGAAGCGTTTGAAGGTCAGGGAGCAAGCTGGGTGGACATCATGTGGGAGAAAACACCGAGCAAAGGGAATAGTAAATCTAAAGGTTCTGAGGTGTGTCGCGCATTTGAGGACACAGGAGTGCCTGGGCTGGAGTGAGTAAGAGTGGCTGGAGAAATGTTCCGAGATGGGCTGCACACTGAGTCTTTGGCTTGAGTTGTTCATGAGATTGTGGGGTGTTTGAGCAGGGGAGCGATGTGGTCTCACTTGTGTTTTAACAGGATCATTCTGGCTGCTGTGTTAAGAGTAGCCTAGGGGGTCTCGGGCAGAAGCAGGGATGCCAGTTAGCAGAGTACTGCGATGATCCAATAAATTGCATTCTGTCTCCTGCCACTAGGATTTAAGTTCTTTGTTCACTGAGACATTCTAAGCACTTAGAAGAGCATCCGGCACATACTAGGCTGTGAGTAATTATTCACTGATTGAATAATGGTGGCTTGGATCAGGGTGGTACTATTGGGGGTGGTAAGTAATTGTATTCTCAATGTATTTTGAAGGTAGATCACAGGCAGTTTAGTGGGTGATGGGATATGGTTTGTGAAGGAGCTGTCAAAGATGATTCTAATGTTTCTTGGCTTAATCAACTTGCAAGAGATATTTACCATTAAACTGTGATGGCAAAGCTTGTGGGTGAAGCAGGTACAGGGAGAAGAGCATTGCACGTGTGGAGCCGTCCAGTAGTCCTCGGACGAAGGGAGGTCAGGTGCGATGAGGACTTAGAACCGTTGGGGTTAGCCACCCAGAGCTCCCCGGCGCCCTTGAGAGTGCTTCATTAAGATGGTGGGGTGAAAGCCTGTATGGGGTGGGTTTAAGAAAAAAGGAAGGGAAGGAGAATTGGAGACAGTTCGAAAAATGAGTTTGTGGAGTTCTGTTGTAAAGTAGAGCTGAAAAATGGTGCATTAGCTGGAGGACAAGTGGTGGTAAGTTTTTTTGTTATTTTTTAAATGGGAGGGAAAATGGCATGTTTGTATGCAGTTGGGACTGATCCTATAGATGGGAGTGTGGAGGGTGGGGAAACTGATGGTTTAGGGAAAGGTGGGGAGAATTGGTGATAATATATGAGTGGAGACGGGGACCGATGCCCAAGTGGAGGGGCTGGCCTTACAAGGCAGCACAGTTAAATAGTACACATGTGCTGATGAGCTTGAAAAAGTTCTCTCCCCATTGCTTCTATTTCTCAGTAACAAAGTAGGCCATGCCAGTAGGTGAGCGTGGAGAAGGGGGCGTGAAATACTCAGCGAAGAGAGTGGGAGGCCCCCTGGACTGTGGGAATGTAGCATGAATGCCCCACAGCACTGAGGCCCCCATGAGATTCATGGTTCTAAATTTAAAGTGAGCATTGTCCAGTGTTTTTCTCCAGCTGTGGAGAAAGTTGAGTGGGTACAGGCGTGGAATAGGCAGAGTTGAGCTTAACTAGGGTTGTAGTTTTTCCAAGTAGAACCACAAATCAAGGTTGTAAGGATGAGAGGTTGGTGGGGTGATTGTAGTGACTGGACGTGGAATTAAGCTGGTGAGGAAGGAAGGGAGGGAGGGAGGGGGGAGGGGGGAGGGGGGAATGATGAGGGTGTAGAACAGCAACAAGTTGGCAGACGCAATGAGTAATAGGTCCACGAAGTAGAGGGAGTGAGCTGGAAAGGTGGGAGATAAGATGTTGGGGAGCATGGTGCTCCACGCTGAGATTACAGAGGGGTTGCAGCCATTGGTAGTGGGGAGACCGCGGATAGGACGGTGGGAATGAGCGGCTGAGACAGAGGGGAGGTCCAGGAACCAGGAGGCCGTGGGTTCGGAAGGACCATCTCCGCGAAGTCTGGAATCACTACCAATTAAGAGAAGCAGAGCCAGGCAGAGCCGGGCAGAGCCGGGCAGAGCGGCAGCGAGCCAGGAATCAAACAGGTGGAGATGTGTCCGCGGGGCGACTGCCTCGTCTTCTAGTCAGTGGGGAGCACCAAGAGTGGAGGTGGTGGGCGCTGCTGGGGGAGAGGAGAGGTTCGACCTGCAGACTGTCGTGGAGGCTTTGATGAGGCGTCATCGCAGCGCGGTGGGCCAGCCTCTCCTTTGAAGCCAGTGAGCCACGCAGGTCGGAGTGCGGAGTCTGGGCTGTGCTTCTGGGTCTTTGCTGAAGAAAGGGCTGAAACCAAAGAGCCCAGGATCTTTGATTCCTGCTCAAGTGAAAGGGGGAGAAAGAAGGTCTGTTCAGCCCAAGGCTTAATCTTACTGTTTACACAGAGGCTGTGAAAATTACTGTCGAGAGGAGTAATGGAAAGCAGAATTGATAGCTAGGCTTTCTTCTCCGGGAGCTGAGAAGTGCTAATGTCCACCGAGCACCACAGGTTAACAGTGAAAACAAAAATCAAATTCCGAATCCATCTTTCCAGTCTCATCAAAGTTAGGCATATTTGTTTTTATTTCATTACTTTTTATTCCACTAATTTCAAGGATGAAGTGTTGTGTTTTCCTTCCTGCACACAAAAAAATCATTTATTTTCCTGTTGATTGTTAAACCAGAAGATATGCTTTGATACCGAGGTTTTTAAAACTATATACTGATAGTTGACATTCTTTCTAAAAAAACTATAGGAAAGGGGAAAAGGAGAAAAAGTCTAAAATGTCATTGCACAAACACAACTATTGCCATTTTGATAGTATTTCCCACCAGTCTTTTTTTTTTATTAGGTATAAGTTTTTTTCTTTGGGTTTTTACTCATACTAAATAGGAAGAATGTAGCTTACTTCTACTTACCATTATGATAAACATTTCCTCTGTTAACCTTATAATAATCCTTGAAAATTATAGCTTTCCATTAGGTTTAAAATTTTTCTGTCAGTTTTTTATTATAAACCATGCTGTCAAGAATGATTACAGAGATTTTTCTGCATATGGGATTTCTTTTTTAGGGTAAATGTCTAAAAGAATAGAAATAGTTGGTCAAAGAGTATTAAATTTAGTATTCATTTCAATTGTGAGAAATAATTGCTCCATTGTTATTAAAGATAAGTCAGATATGTGACTGTGTCTGTGTTACTCCTCTTTGAGATGTTGGGGTTTCTGTAGGAGTCTAGGTAGCTAGCTCCCAGACTTAACCTGGGCAGAGAATGAGTGATTTGTCAGATGGTTCTTTTCAAATGAAAGTTGGCTTATAACTGATCCCAGGGAGAGTCAGAGAGGCTGCTTCTGTTCCGGACCCCCTGTGCCGTACAGTCCTCTCTAATTCAGTCTACGGCTGTTATCTGGGGGGACTAAGTGTGATAGAAATAGTAGTCATAGATTAGTTATACTCACTTTAAACTTGTTGGTAGAATCTTTAACTTTTCTAAAGTAAAAACTTTTCTTAGTGTTTCCCATTTCTAATTTTGTCTGCCTTTTGAGGTTATTTATAGCTAGGCAGGCTTGCAATGTGTGAGAGTTCTTATTTCATTCAGTATCTAGATTTCTATTTACAAAATGAGTTGTTTTTAGACATGTTTGTCAATAGGAAATCCATGGCAGCTTTGCACTCGCTAACACAGCCCTCCTCACTTGTGCTTTATTTTAGGTTTAAAGATACTATTGTAAATGCCAAGTATGGAGGGCACACAGAGGCCGTGCGCCGGCTGCTGGGCCAGCTCCCCATCAGTGCCCAGTCTTACAGTGGCAGCCCCTACCTTGATTTGTCTCTCTTCAGCTACGATGACAAGTGGGTGTCGGTCATGGAGCGGCCCAAGACTTGTGGAGATCACCCTATCAGGTATACACCACCGCTTCGCTGTGCACTGCCTGCGGCCGAACACGGCCCGCTGTCTCTGCCTCTCCTTGGACATCATTTCACTGACTGTCCTCCTGTACTCACCGGTTGGATTGAAAGGGCAGGTGGTTTCTGTAATGTGGTGGGTGCTGTGATCATGTAGGTACTCGAATCATAAATTAAGTAGTTTCGCTAACTTTGCTTGTCATCAAAACATCTAATTCAGGTAAGTATTGTTCGTTTAAAGGTATCCAGGGAAGGAAGCTGTACTTTTATGTCTAATAATTGAATGCCATTTCATAATAACTGTTTATAATTGGGAGCTTTAAATTTTATCTAGCTCAAATTCTTTTATCTTCCCAAATTACTTGGCAGAAAAGATAGCTGAGACTGTTACCTTTGGGTAACAGACAGGTTGGAGAAAATCTTGCCTCTCTTGGTCTTCCAGTGGAACAATTTTGGGATCCCCATTTTAGAATGTAAGCCTGCTGTCTTATCGCTGAAACCTGAAACTAACTCTCTCAAGCAGGCCCTCCCCCACAGGTGCCCAGTTCACAGAGCCCCTCTCTTCATGTCGGAGCTTGTGTTGCTCTGTGAGTGTAGTAGGTGTGGGGAGAGGAGCTGGCAGCGCTGTCACTAGTGGGGTCCCTGCAAGGGAGGTATGTGCCTGGGGCCCTGAGCTGGAGCCGGGAAGGTCTTTTTCACATAAAAACAGTGCTAGAAGTATTTAATAATCCAGTTTCATTGTATGTTAGATAGGCTTGTGTAACATATTCCGTATAATTAATCACCATTCTTAATATTTCCTTGGGAAATTGCAATTAAGTTCCAAAAACCATTTAATTTTTTTCTTTATTATGGGAAGTTTTAAACATACAAAAAGCAGAAGAGTATAATGAACCTCCATGTATCCATCACCGAGCTTCCGTAGTTTCCAGCTCGTGGTCATTGTTGTTTCATCTCTTTCCGTTACCACCGCCACCCTCCGGACTGCCGCTGCATAACACTAGGCAAATCCCGGGCTTCATAGATTCTACTGGTAAATATAAAAGATAAGGACTTAAAAACAATACAGCCACCGTACCATTATTCCATCTTAAGGTCCTGCTTCTCTTATTTTCCTTGCAATGAAATGTTTTTTTTTGTCCTGAGTCTTCCCCAGTCTAGATTTTGGTCATTGCATTCCTGGTGTAGTATTTACCATGTCTCTCATTTCCTCATATATCCTGTAAACTGGTAGTTAGATTTAGAAGCTCAAACAACTCACTTTAAATTACAAGCTCTTTGTATGTTGGGGACTATCTGGGTAAAGTGAATGTGTTCTTCTCTCATAATAGCACATAATGGGTCTCATCTGATACTGTCAGGTAGCACGATGTACATTTCTCTCTTTTCTGACTTCCCTGCCTTCCTGATTTAGAAAGATTAACTCAGCCCAACTCACAAATCTGGAAATGCCATTGCCACTGACTATAGGAGGTTTTCTTGTAGTTCTTCCTTATTTTTTTTACTTAAAATGAGAAATGTAAGGATATTAAAGGCATTTGAAGAGGTAATACATTACTCTAATACCTTTATTGTATATTCCATTCTAGTCTTTGTCAGTGTGCATGTTTCCATTTACACAGTTATAATCATGATTAGCATAACACTTTGTAGTATGCTTTTATTTTATTAACTTTTTTCATGTTGTCCTCACAGTTGCAGTCCTAATGACAACATATTCTGTCAAGTAGATCTACCACAGTTTATTCAACTATTTCCTTATTGCTGAGCATCTGTTCTACATTTTTACCTTAGAGTTAATCCTGTAGTAGCCATCTTTATTCCTGTCGCAATTTACTTTATTTAAATTGAATTCTGAAAATACCTATTCTTGGAAATGGAATTATTGAATCAAAGGGTATGAATATCTTTTTGTCTACTATATATTTGCCCTCTAAAAGGGAAATTATAGAACTCTTTAATTCAGAGCTCTTCATTTTCTAGAACTTCCCCCAGTTCAGTCTTAATTTTTTAGTCCTCATTTCTAGTTCCTAATAATACTACAGGGCACTTATTTTATATAAGAGAAAAGGTTAGGTACTGGGATGGATGGAAGCATCTTTAGTTTTACTGGATTAGAGGAAAAATTAAAAACTATTTAGTATTTAGAACCTTCCAAAAGAATTTATTCTTAAAAATGAAAAACTTAAATATGGGGCTGAATCTTTACTGTCCTTGTACAGTAGCCACTAGACATGTGTGGCTGCTGAGCCCCTAAAATGTGACTAGTCCAAGTTGAGATGTGCTTAGGTGTCAAACACACATCAGATTTTAGAAGCTTAGTACAAAAAAGTGTGAAATATCTTGTTACTTTTTTTTATATTGATTATAGGTTGAAATGAAAATATTTTTGATACCAATATGGGGTTAAATAAAATAGACTATTAAAATTTCACTTTTTCTTTTTACCTTTTTTAATGTGGCCACCTAAAATTAAAAATTATACATAGGCTTGCATTTCATTTCTAGCCCTGGCCTAGACAGTCCTGGGGCAGGTAGCTTCTGGAAAAGGGGAGGCAGAATTAAGGCATAACTAAGGGCTGTGTTGGAGAGGGGAGCTGACCCAGTGACTCAGGACAACATAGGGAAATTCATGATTACCCTGCCCATAAAACAGGCTGATCTGACAAAGGGGATTCTGTAGTTCCAGTAACCGGGGGCTGATGCAAGGGGAGATTTCAGTGAAAGGCAAAAAGAATTGTACGTCCCCCTGCTCTGCAGATTTCAAGATGGTAGTGTCTATACCGTCCTCTTTCTCTCCTTGTTCTGTTTAGGTTCTATGCCCGGGACTCAGGCCTGCTGAAGTTTGAGATCCAGGCAGGCTTACTGGGCCGCCCCGTCAACCACACAGTGCGCCGGCTTGTTGCTTTCACCTTTCACCCCTTTGAACCTTTTGCTATTTCCGTGCAGAGGACTAATGCTGAGTATGTCGTCAACTTCCATATGCGACACTGCTGCACATAGGTGTCTCACCGAAGCCAGGTTCTCTGGTCTCCCAAGACCTTGCCCCGTCACGTCTCCGTGGACGCTAAAGCGAAAGCTCCTGATGTCCAGCTGTGTTGGTCCCCGGCTGGCGTACCTCAGGTGGGCAGAGCCTGAGGACCAAGGCGTCTTGGCCTAATGAGAGTTTCTCGTTGTATGCAACTACTGATCAATCTCGGGTCCTCTTGCCTTTTCCCTGTGGGAAGGCCCAGCATTCATTAAGTCCGTTTAACTCTTGTATTTTGCATCGTATTGCTGTGAAGATGAGAGCATTACACCTTTACCCCCTTCATGTTGCTTCCTTGGCATTATGGTGTGCAGCCTGAAGCAAGTAGATCTTGTTTACTCATGAGAACTGGGTACATCCTTTCCCTTAGCCAACCAGCAGGGCTATCTTTATAAGAAAAAAATAATAAAGCCTTGGTATTTTCTTACTTAAATATATCCAGTTTGATAACTGCCTTATGTTCTGTTCACACCAAATACTTTTCAAATACATGGGTTCTAGGAAGGACTGGATGGAACTAGACGCCATGGGTCCAGCAGCCGCCCTTGGGAGAACTACGTGGTGTGTGCCAGCATGGAGGACAGTTATCTGCCAGGACTGTGTCTCCTTCCCTTGGGTTTTCTTCTGGTAACTGTTGTAGCTGGAGGAACTGGACGTAATTGTGCATTCTCATGTGGAGGCATGCTCCCATCTGCACCATCTGTGTCAGGCAAGTGGAAGAGCGAGCGTTTCTCTTTGGCCCCAGCAGACACAAACACTGTGGAGCACGTACTGTCATTTGGGTAGGGGGAGCTGGCAAGCTCCAGGTGTCCCTAAAGAGATCAGACTGGTTGTTCCTGGACAGCCAAGCCATCCCAGCTTGCGCAGACACCTGCTGGCCCCCAGCCAGCATCCTGTCACATCCCCAGCTCATCTCCTCCACAGGGCTTCTCAGGCTCTTTGTGCTTCATCTTAATAATGTGTCCACCATTTGTGTGGTAAGCTTGTTTAGTAGCATCTGACTTTGAAGGTAGCTTTGAAATGCTGGGTTTTTAGAGCAGGCTGTGAAAGGAGCCATGGATGCAAATAGCTGCTCCTGTCCCTCTACCTGCAGGCTGACCTCCCTCGGGAACATGAGGAACGTGATGGGAGATGCTGAGCCCCCACAAAGATAGTTCATGGATTTCATGCTCTTGAGTACTGAACAGCTAGGTCATCCTAATTCCTCGTTCAAAACAGGATTTGAGCACCTACTATGAGTCAGGGAGATGCTGTGCCAAGAAGTCAAAGATGAGAGAGAGGCAAGTAGAATTCTAATGCAAAATGGCAAAAGCCCCAGTAGTGTATATTTGGGCCTAGTGTGAAGGAGAGTAGAGGAGATGGGGAAGGGGGCTGTGCCGGGGAGGGAAACAGGAACTGGGTAAATGGGGTGTGCTGCGTGAGCCAGGGTAGAGGACATGTCAAGGGGAAACGTGCAGAGTCAGAAGCATGGAGAGGTTCTGTCATGGCTGTGGAATGGCAAGTCACCCGATGTGGCGACAGCACGGGCTGTGTGAAGGCCTGCGAAATGTGCCTGGACGATGACGAGAAGGCTCGTGCGCTGTGTTCAGCTTTCATGAAGCAGAAGCCATGTAGATTTCACAGAATTTTCAGCAGTCTGGCTGATGGCTTGGGAACAGAGATGCAGTAGGCAATGGGGGTAACACAGAGGAGAAGGGTGGGGGGCTTGGACGACATCACTGGGCATCTGGGTGGATGGAATGCCGAGCCTTCTAAAATCCTCGGAGGTCATGAGAAATCAGGGTCTCAGAGAACTACCTTTTCTTTGTAGGGCAGTATACCTGTAGCCATTGCTTTGTACCAGGTTGCTGATGGTGCCTAAGGGCTAGGCAGCAGAAGCCGAGTGCAGAGTCACCCAGGCCTCAGCATGACCCCCAGCCCTTGCCCTCATTAGCTGCATGACCCCGGGCAGGTGCCTCGCCTTTCTGACGCTTAGTTTACACTGCCCTTGCCTTAGTCATATACTCCCTTGGTCACATCTTAGATCCTCTCATCACTTCCAACTGCTGAGCAATCCTCACATGTTTTCCTTATCTGTTTATTTTCCCATTCCCTGAAATTGCCACGTATGCCTTCATTTATTGTCAAAACCCCTCCTCCCATTTCTCAGTGATCACCTTGCTGTCCGCTTCATGACAGAAATAGAAACGGTGAGGTGGGAATGACCTTATCTGTTCTTTAGTATGTCAGCCATGTGACTTGCACCTGTGCTCATTCTCCGCCTTTCCTCCTGGATGAAATACCCCTGCTTCTATAAGAGGCCAGCCCGTCCACCTGTTCACGGAATCCTCTCTCCTTTTCACTTCTCAGTGTGTTTCCTTCTACAATTACTTTTTCTTTCTCGCATCTTTCTCTTGACAGATCATCCCCACTAGCATATAGATAAGCTCTAGGATCTTCCTTTTTTAAAAACTACTGATTTGGCCCCATTTTCCCCTTGGGTTAATGCCCATTTCTCTGCTACCCTTCACAGAAAAACTTGAAAGAATACCTATACGTTTCCTCTTCCCCGTGGTCCATTTTTCCTTAATCCTGCCCCCACCACTCCACTGAAACTGCAGTTGTCCAGGTCACCAGCGACCCGTTTCGTCGGTACAGGGCTCACCTCTTGTCCCTCTTGTACTCAGCCTCCCGATGTTGGATGCAACCGATTCCTCTCAATATCAAGAACACTCGCTTCTCTGGGTGTCCAGGGCAGCACATGTTTCTGGTTTTCATCTTACTGATGGTTGCTTCTTGGTCCCGGTTGCTGGTTTCCCCTTCTCTTCGTTTGCCTCTAGATGCTGGAGCGTTCCAGCCCTTGGCCTTGGGTCCTCACTTCTCTTTCTCTGTATATCCTTTCTTCAGTTGATTTCGTCTTTCCCCCTGGCTTGGATTCCTGAATTCTAGCTGGTTACTGATGATCCTCAAAATCATAACTCCTTCCTTGAGCTCCAGATTCATATATCCCATGGCCTACATGGCAACTTCATTTGTATATCTAATAGGCATTTCGAAACTAGCATATCCTAAGCAGTGCTTGTGATTCCAGCCTCCACCTCCAACCTGTTTTTCCGTCAAGATTTCCCATACGGCATTAGTGCCCACTCATTCACTTGAGGCAAAAACCTGGGAATTATTCTCACTTTCTCTCTTTTCCAGCCCCCTCCCTTCACCCCCAGTGCCCACATATCTGACTTCTACTCTAGGGCTGTGCTCTGAGCAATCTAAACCAATCACAATAGCCCCACACTCCTTCTTAGTAACCAGAACTAGAATTAGGCCAAGACCCGTCAGCATAAGGGCTTAGTTTAGGAATGTCATGTGACAGTTCGGTCAATGGCACTGTGAGGTAAAGGCTTCCGGGACTTCTGGTGGGACATTTCTTTTTTGAAAAAGTGAGGAACCATGTAGCCCCGTATTTCTCCCAACACCCTCTGGTCATATTCAAAATCATGAATTCAGATCATACTCAGATCAACCTTGGAATGAAGCTGACCTGGAATGGCAAAATGAAGAGGGAAGAAGCTGGGTCACAGACGACATTGCCATCCGATCACACAACTCTGAAGCCCACCCTTCATCTGAATTTCTAGTTCTGTGAGACAATACATTTCCTTACTAGTTAAGCCGCTTTAAAATTGGGTTTTCTTTTTCTTACAGTTATAAGCAAATTAAGAGATGCAAAGAGAGGGGCTGGTCCCTTGTGGAAAGAGTCCTGAGATTCCTGCTGGTTGGGTGTCTTCTTAGAATCAGTTCCAGTTTCTGCGAGGCCCATTTATGATTCCTACTCTTGAGTTCTTACTCTTGGATTTCTTTAAGATTCCTGGATCTCCTATAGCCCCCTGGAGCCTACCTGAGCTGGCCTGGGTGTTTCTTGTAACTAAAAGGATTTAACAAAATGAGAGAGAGCGCACCATTGAGTACTTGACCCATTAAGTTCTCAACCCCTATGTGTTTATATTAACTTTGTTTCTAAAGGATTTAAGGCTTCTCAGTAAATTCTAGTGCCTTTTCTCTACAGATGTCCAATGAATCTCAAGAATCTTTGGAGAAACGAGTTCTTTGGATCCAAAATGTTTAAGAGAAGCAGAGACTTCAGGGGTTATATCTTTGAGATCTGAAGTCTTCCCTGAACCTCTCTCCTTTCATCCCTGCCCTGCCGGGAGCTGGCATGTCTCATCAGTGTGTAGCTGCTCTGGGCTTTTGAGAGAATGGTTCCATTTACATTTAGCAAAACCTCTTATATTCAGAGTCCTTGTAGAGTAGCACAGTATAATCAGTGAAAAGCCAAATTAGATAATTTTTAAAAGAACGGTAGCCTCATTATTTTCAAGTACATAGAGTAACTCCATCATAGCCATGAAGTGTTCCTTTGTAGAAACCCTTAGGGACTTTTCCTAATGAGTAGATTATAATTATTGGTAATCAGCATAACGGTTCTCTGCAATGCGTGCTTCTAAAACAGTTGAGCATATTAAGTGATTTTGATGTTCCAGAGGGCAATTTTATTTACAACATTATTCTGCTCGGTATATACCCTTTATAGCTATAATCCACTGTTACTTAAAAAAAAAAATTCTGAAGGTTCTTTCCACAATACATTTGGTTACCAGAGCAGAAATAATGTAGGAGGAGAGATGCATAGTAGGACTTACTCCTTACCTGTGGTATCCTGATAGGATTATGGGAACAAGTGAGGCCTGGTGCAAACCCTGGCTCTGTCACCTACTCACTATGTCCCTTGGGCTTGACAACAACTTTACTGAGTCTCAGTTCCTCTTCTGTAAATGGGGATAATTTTTATCCTTCAGGGTTGATGTGAGTACTAAATGAGTGTTGATTAAAGCTGTTAATACAGTAAGGACTCGATAAATGCTAGCTGCTTTCTTCTCTCTAGATCTTGGCCAGTGTGGGAGGCTCCCCCACCTCTTTAGTGTCCCAGAGACTGCATGCCATCCTTGCAGTGCCTCTTAGTTCCCTGTTATTCAAGCAACATACACTTGTCCCTTCTCCAGGCCCAGTCCTTCTCACCCACGGGAGACTTGTGGCATTTGAGGTGGTGCCATTCTGCTGCCATGGCCTTTGTCCCCACCATACCAGGTTTGAGGACACCAGAATATCCCTAACTCTCTTTGTAGCCAAACATTGGATAAAAGAGACTGGTTTGTTGAGAGTTCGTTATTGTTGATTGTGAACATTTATTAGGAGCTTATTATGGGCCAGAAACAATGCTAAGCACCTTATATCAGAAGGTATTACCTCATTTCATTGATTCTGAGATGCAGTTTTCAAAATTGGAATGTATCTGAAATTGGCACCTTGTCGGTCTGCCAGGCACCAATCACCACATCACTGCCGTCAGCGCCTGTGCATGTGCACACTGAGCATATTGGCATCATTTCTGTTGAAATATGCA